TGTTTAAACTTTAGAGACAGGAGGATTCAGCTTTTTGTATAACTGTTAAATAATTTAGAAAGAAGATAGGAAATGTCAATATTTATGGGATCACCAGGCAGGATTAAAATTAATCTTCAAGATCCAGGGAAGGGTGCTTGTAAACCTAACAGATGTATCTCTTAGAAAAACCAAACCAACAAACCTACAAAAAAATACCACACTTCTTTCTGTATAATCTGATTAATGCAGAAGATACAAGAATAAGGGGATAAGGAATGTGTAGATAATGGCTCTGCCTAGCTAAAGACTCAAAAGATTGAATTTGAAAGAATATATTGGTTTCTCTATTGCCATTTTTGAGATAACAGAACAACCAGTTAATTGCAGATTGTGAAAACTTTCATGATATGATTGTCCTCCTCATTTCAGAACCTTACATCATAAATATAAATACTGAATTATATAATATTAAAATTGAAATGAATCATACAGTTCCTACTTCTGAGTAATTGTCTCAGAATGGCTAGGTATTCGGCTTTAATATGTATGATCTGTGTAATCAAGAGACCATTCTTAATTTTTCTTCGGTTTTTAAAAGTCTGTATGGACCTAGCATAATACAGCTCAATCTTGAAATGCTCTGCATAAGTGAACATCTATGAAGTAACTTTGGAAAGGTGTTGCTTCTTATGAATCAGAAAGTATTGATAGTGTCTAGTGTTATCTCCAGGTGAAGGTTTTAGACAGGATTTTGTCCTATTGACAAAACAGTCTCATAGAAATCAACTTCATATTTTGAAGGAGAGAGATAAATGAATGAGTGGTGGATAGAACTGGCTCAAAGAACATTTAGGGCATAAAGTATATACAGTGCTGTTTGTGTCTTCTAAAGCTGTTTAATAAAATAAGTTTGGAAAGTTTCAGTTGGAGGTTTGAGTTGGCACGGTTTTTATAGAATACTGTACTATTGACAACATTGTTTCTCAAGTCTTCAACTCTAGAAACCGTGTGCTTGCTTCCACTTTGTTATAAATATCATGCCAGTTTTGAAACATTAATAAAAGGTTTAATATTCAGTCTTTGGTTTCCAATAAAGGGTGCATAATAGTAGTGTAATTTTTTTGCAAACCTTTTTACTTAAAGTTGTAGATAAACCTTGCTATAAACTACTCAGTAGATTTGCTAGAAAAGCTTGTGATTGAGTGCTATGTATGCTTGCCTTTTTGCTTCCACCTAGAATCCAGGGCCATTACTTTCTGTAACCATTTCAGTGAGCTGCCATAGTTTTCAGTCTGTACTGTCACCTGATCCAAGCATGCGCCAAAATACCCACTGTTTCTGGCTACTGTCTGCTGAATCTGCTTTGCAAACCCTTAGTTTTTAAGCTTTTGCCTTAGCAAAAAACAACAACAGACACTCTTAAGGAGTGTACTGGACACATGCCATCCTGCTTCCCTAATTCCTCTAATTGTTTATGTAAATCCTTAGCTTTACTAAACCTGTAAATGCTACAATGGCATCCCCATGTGAAATCGTGTGGCTCGTGTCAAAAAAGACTGCTTGTGAAAATATTTGTCAGAAGAATATGAATGCTACACATTGCACTGCATTCAGTGTTTTGTATCAATTTATTATTGCAATGTCATGGTGTTTGATTTTAATTGTAGTCAATCATTTTGTGTTTTAATATGTAAAGGTAAGTTCATGTAAACTGTGAATGTACAGTATTTATATATAAACATACTGATTTGTATTTTTGGCCTCTTTCTGGAAGAAAAAAATACTTAACTAAATGTCTTAAGCAGAGGAACCCAGTTTTCTTTACAAACATTTGTTTATGCATGACTCAAATTTTTGAACTTGTGCAATAAGAATTAATTGGATTTTTTGAAAGATATTGTGCCTGATCTTGTTAACACTGAAGGCAGTAGCTGGAAAGTTGTACTTAACTCTTAATGAGAATGAAAATGATCCATTATATTACTGTAGTTAATAGTTTTGTTAATTCTGATGTTGAATGTGTTCTCAGAGTAAAGGGTTAAATGTTGCTTTAGCAAGACATAGTGTTGAGCAAGCTCACAACAATATGTGCTTTCCATTATGATAAGGAGAACTTGTAGGTGAAGTTAGATGAGAAAAGTGTGTTAACTCTCTTTAATAACTTGTTCCTAAACTTTAACTATAAATTTTTGTGGAGGAAAGTTAAATGTTTGCATAGAGTTTGGGACCCGTCACTATTTCTACCTTTTCTGTTCCCCTTAAGCATATCTGTTCTCTTTCAACATTCCATTCTGTTTCAATTTTTACTGTGGCTACATACCTTTCCAGTGTCATATTCTTGTTTGTAATCTTATTCTTTTTCCACAGCACTTTCCCTGTTCATCCCCAGTCACTTCACCTGTTGCTCACTTTCAAATCCTTTGTCATGACTTCCCATTTTCTTGCACTTTTTGTCATAGAAAGGTCACTGGTGACAAGTAGGAGCATTTTTTGCCAAATGGTACCTCAAGATGTGAAAAGTGATGATTTAGTAAAATTGGCTTTTTTGTCTTTATGTCTAGAAAAAGTTTACTTCTCCTTTGCAGGTGTTTTTCTGTGAAGTAAAAAAATATGTGTAGCTGTCCAGTCAATATTTATAGCCAGCTGCCTGTGATCAAGTGTAAATGAGCAAGGATTGTCCTGCATAGTCAGTGAACCTCTTTTTCTCCTACTTAAACTTTTCTGTTCTAGAGAGAATTGATAAGCAATCTCCTTCACTGTGATTGGATGGGGAAGGAGGAATTGCTTCCAAAATCCATGTCCATTCCACCATAAAGAGTTAGTGATAACATTTACAGAAGGTGCTTGTGGTCTCACATCTCCCTTACAGCTCTCCATTTTGTCAGATGTTGTAGCCTTTGTCTTAAAATGCATTTCCAAAGTTGCTCCATTCACCTACCACTATTGCCATTAACTGGTGGCAGCAGTCACAGCCTCTGTTCAGGCAGAGATGCAGATGCAAAAGAGAAAACAATTCACCTCTCACTTTCCTTTGTGTACCACAAATTGTTCTCATAGTTGAGCCTCTGAACTCCAGCCCTATGATGTGATGAGTTATTTCTGCATGATTCTCAGCTTTTGAAAGCTGAAAAGTGTGAGACCTTGCTAGCAGGTATTCCAACCATGTGAGTCAGGATTACGGTATATCCTCTCAAGCATTTGATTGTTCCAGTCAGTGAAAGTGTTTAAACAGTGTTTTTAGGCTGAGAGACAGGGAGGTGCTATGCTTCAAGATTCTACTAGTAATTCATTGAAATCGGCTGAAGGTGAACTCACATACAGCGAAACGTGATTGATATGGTTCATGAAAATCCTTAGTCTCTTTTGTGTCTCAATATGTGTATTTTTGTTTTGATTGCGGAGAACCTTCCTAAGAAGTAAGGGGTTTTTTCTGTTCACTGTTTTCTTAGTTGGATAAGCTTCAGTGTGGACACCCAAGGCTGCTGTTAGTCAGTGCTATGAGTTACACAAGCATTAACATTTAAAGTTAGGTATAGTTGAATATACATAGCTCTGTACTATTTTTAAAATTAGATAATGACAATTAGTTTAATTTTAGAAAGCAGAAAGACTGGTTTAATATGAAAAGATGAGGTAAATTCATGAATGAATACATCTTGCTGTAGAATATTTTTGTTTCGGTAATTTTCAAAATATGCGTATAGCTGCATCTTTCATTTTTGTTTGTCACGTTGTCAGAGAACTCAGTGTACGATAATAGGTTATCATACACTATATTTATAAATATTCCAGATAGTACAAAATTGATTCCTAGTGAATCTCAGGTTTTTAAATTATTATATTCACCAAGGAGATCTCAATAGCTAGATGTTTGTATCTGTAAAGTTCAGTTATTTCATGGAAATTGTATAAGAGTCTTACCTACTCAGAACCTTTGTAGCATCTGAGTGCTTGTTGTTTGTTACTGTTTTTCCCCTTATTTTATGTATCAACAATTAACATAATTTTCAACTAAGTTCATTGGTACAGGTAAGCCATTTTGAAAGAAGAAACAGTTGGCAAACTAATTGTAAATGGCAATACTCGTGGACTTCTTATATAAAGAGCTTGTGAGATGAGCTTTAGTTCTGGGAAACTAATGGCTGAACAGTTTAAATAAATGGATTGCATAAACATTAAAGTAGCACTCTTTTTTTGCATTTTTAATGTAATATTCGAGAAAAGTGGGTAGGATACAGTTTAACATATAACCTCAAAGTCAGTAAAGCTAATTAGAATCTGTATGGGGACAGGGTGGGGAAGGTGTGGTTTCCAGGATATAGAGGAAAAAAGGCATCAACAGATAGGTAGTCAACATACATCTTGTAATTCTTAATGTTATTGATGTAGAAGTAGTTTCAAATACCTGTGGCTTCTCAAGGTTAGAATTGCTGAAATAAGGACCACAGAGCTGTGTGATTAGTGATAGAGCATTGAACAAATATTTTTAAAATCTGGTAAAGAGAACTGCTTACAGTAGGAAGAACCACAGAGGTTATCTCAAAGATGTCAACTGTATACCAAAGCAAAATATTACTTTATTACAATAAATACTGTTTCAATACTATTGCTGTTAGTTTTTCAGTATTACAGAGTATCTGTGATGCTTTGGTGCAAGTTATGTGCTGCTCTCGTGTTGTTGGAAACTGACAGTATGGTCTTCAAGTGGGTGGAGATTGGAACGCTATCTACAGTATTTGGGTGTTATCTGTCATGGACAACAACAAGACTGCAGTATTCTGACAGAACTTGATCACATGGGTGATAAACAAAAATATAGTGAGAACCTGTTCACATGGGTGATAAACAAAAATATAGTGAAAAAGCCCCATTAGTGTTTGCTTGAACTGCAATAACTAGGAAATAAAAAGTGTCCAGATACAGTAAAACACTTGAATATGAACTTTTCAGATTAATTGCATGAAACTTTATGTTGATGTAGTCCAGAATAGTGAACTGATTTATACTTTGTCTTTCAGATGAACCAGAGACACGAGATGCATGGTGGGCAGAAATCAGACAAGAAATAAAATCCCATGCCAAGGCATTGGGTTGTCATGCTGTAGTGGGCTACAGTGAATCAACTAGCATTTGGTAAATCATGATGATGATTTGATTTTCAAAATGCCACAGAAAACTTATTTCATCTTCAGTGGATTAAAAATGGTTAACTATTTCAACACAGTTGTTGGTACTAAGTCTAGTATACCTACTTCAGAGAGTTTGTTAAAGTAACTTTCTGAGAATTTTTTTAATAATATATTTTCAGTTGGGTTTTTATTGGGTTCTGTTTTTTGTAATGAACATTACAATTATTTTATTTTTTTTTTTAAATTCCAAACCTACATGTTTGCCTTTGTGGTAATAATATTAATTTATCTATGAAGTTTTCTAAATCTAATCTAGCTAAATAGCTAAGACTGTTTCTAAAAGTATATGTCTTGCAGTTTCATTGTTGGGTAACAACTGGCAGACCAGTACTTAGATGGTAAACCTCAAATTTAAGGCACAGGTTCTTTACTAGGAATATATTAATTGTGAGTTAAAGGAGAATATGCTGCCTGATCAATTTAGAATACTTTAGGTGTAAACGTTCTGTATTTCTTTCTGAAAAATATATGTAATTATTTTTGTCTTTCAGTACTACAGTAGTGTTTAATATACTAAACTGCAGCTCTGCAGTAGTCTTTCTGACGTTGAATTCATAGCCCTGCATGCTATTCAGGCCAGAATTCCAGTGTCTTACTGTATTCCCTTTGGCTAAGAAAATTCCAATCTTGTGTATTTTGATGGCTTTATAACAAACTTCATGAGAGGCTTGGGAGAGTGGGAGAAATAATTTTGGATTTATCTAATTACTTGTCCTTCTCTCTGGCCCAGGAAAGGTTGTGTCTCTTTCTAGCTCTGGAAAGTAATCTATGAAGAGCTCCTCCTGGGGCCAAGTGTGTCTGACCGATACCAAACAGAAAAGTACTCTGGCTCACTGGTTCTTTTGAATTGTTTTAGGAAAGTAGCTGAAGCAAACTTGGACATCTGAACTTTCTGTCAAGTTGATTTTGCCTAAATACTTTTAAAGAAAAAGCAATAAAGATTTGCTTTTTTTTAAAGAAAGAAGTTGAAAAAGTTTCATTTTACTTTGCAATTGATATGATGAAGAAAGAAATACAGTTATACAGTGTTTTCATGAGTGCACACCATCTGTTGGTAAAGTAGCAAGATAACCAGAAATGATCAGTCTGAAGCCACAGCACTGATTGCTTCACATCTGTTGCTCCTTCACATTTATTGCTTCACTGCAGGTAAAAAAACCCCAAACCCAAAAAAAACCTAATATCTTGATCTTTCACAAAACTTGAAGACAGTTTTTGGAAGTCAAATGCTTGTGCTAGTGAAGTAGTAAAACAGGAGAACTTACTTTACAGACAAGGCATGGTTTGTATTCCTTATGCTGTCTTGTTTGTTTATGTCCTGTCTTGCTTGGTGTATTAAAGACCATATTTACGTCAGAATTGCAGTGTGCAAGTTTCCATTGCTGAGGGATGAACTTGTACTAAAAATGGAAGATTTACTCCTTTGGCTGTCAGTCTCCTTGTAAAAAGTGTGAATATTTTTATGGTTTTTTTGCTACCTTAACTGAGGAAAGAATGTACATAGATAGACAGTCAGTTACTGGGTTATTTCACACTTCAGTTTTTCTTAAGGAATTTAATGTAATCATTGATAAAATATTTTATTAGAGTTCTTATGCTTACTTGCCACTTCAGTTTTATTCCATGCTTAAAGAGCAAGGCTCTGTCTGTAAGTGCTGGTCTGCCAGACATGTTGTATATGAAAAATTACTCTGAGAAGAGAAACAACAAATAAAAACCATGCATGCATCATTCTAGAAAATGTGGGAAAGCTTTTATCCATATTTTCCAATATAGTATTTTAAGTATTGAATGTTAGAGATTCATTTCTTATTTAACAATTTCAGAAATACTAAAAGCTCTGTGATCATAGCTTGCGCTTCTGAGAGCTTTAACTGCTAAGTCATTAATATGGTTGATTACTTTACATGCTAGATGTACCATTATTGTGGTTGTTCATGGTCAAATTTTATTGTTTTGGTAATTTTACACTCCAAGAAGCCCCCTTGTCAGTGTTGTGTTGTAACTTCATTTTGACAGTGAATGTTTATAAGGTGGTGAGGCTCTCAACTTCCATTTTACTTTGGTAAAAATTGTGCCTTTTAAAAAAAAAAAAAGATTTTTCTTTGCTTTTGTTGGTTGGTTGGATTTCACTGCTTTATTAACTGTAGTATTGAAAACCATGTTTAAACCTGATTAGCCTTTGTGATGTTACAGCATGTTATTTATGATATAAAGAAAAGCTCTTTAGTCTTTCTGTTCAGTCCTGAATCTCTTACTTATACAATGGTTTAAATATCCAGAAGAGGATTGTTTGTGGGATTTAATGGATAAAATTGCACAAATACACAATATTAGTAGTTACATTGAATTTATTGAGCCTTTTAATCTAATAGTTTTAAATAAAAGTAGCACCAAGTAGTAGGAATTCACTTTGTTGTAATTCTTTTCTCTTATAGTGAAGAGGTCTGTATTTTGTCCGCGTCTGGCACAGCAGCTGTACTGAACCCTAGGTTTCTTCAGGATGGCACCATGGAAGGCTGTTTGGAACAAAGGTTGTCATGGCAGCCTGGCTTCTTTTCCATAGGGTCAGAGAAGGGAGAGGTTGATTTTTTTCCCCAGAGCCAAGATAGTTCTTCTCTATTAGGGTAGGTTACAGTGTTACAGTGCAGGATGCGGGACCAACCACTTTACTGCTTTTCACTAACAACAACATCAACAGAAGTAATGGAACTCTGCACCAAATTAGATATTCTGTTTTTATTTCTAACAGTCTGAATAAGGTAACACATTTGACTACTAACCACAGATCATAACTCAGTTTTTTTCTTTGCCACTCTTCAGGTATCTTTTATCAGCTTTATATCACACTATAAAAATTGACAGATGTATGATAAATTAATGTAAGCCAAAAACTGTTGTGGCTGTATTATGTGTATATATGTTCTATATATACTATTTAAGAGCTGTATGGGAGATAAAATAGCGTGATTGTAAAACAAAGATGATGCCAAATTTTTGCAAAAGGTATATGTTTTAGTTAAAATTTATGAACAAAATCATGAAACTGAAGGAAATACATGAAGCGTCCCTTTGGTTCTGATCTTGTAAATAAAATTTGAGGAACGAGTATTGGCAGTTATTTTTTGGAAAAAATAAATAGATTAACTAATGCATTTTGGTAATTTATTATGTGTTTGTCAGGATAGTAATCAAATATTTCAAGGGATTATTGTAGTTGTAAGTAAGGCTGTTTATTACACCTTAGCACTTGCATTACTTTTTCCATAACCCTGCCAAGATAGTATTATTTACTATACTTTGTTAGCAAGAGGCCATTTTCTTCTTGTGTAGGTAGACTTTTGAAAACTGTAGCCAGAACAAAAATACTTGTTTCTGTATTCACTATATGATGGAAAGGAAGAAATGTCATGTTCATAATATGAAGAAAATTGCATTTTTATCAAAATACATGTTTTGTTGCTACTAAGAGTCTTGGCATAGATGAGAAATGCCAAAGGAAGATGAAACAACTAAATGGACAAAGCCCATGTTTGAGACAAAATATATTTGCCAAAGTCTGTGATAAGTTATGTTTCAAATCTGTCAGATTTGCTTAATCATCTCTTCAAAATTCACTGAGAATAGTTTATGTGAAACAGAATAAATTTGCAATGGTGCAGTTTGCTTATGCTTTCCTTTATAGTGGTCATTCCTGGATATTTCTTATGGGGGAGTAGGTCTAATTGTTCTAAGTGAATAACAAGTTTTAACTAATAACTTAGGAAATAATCTTGCTATTCTTCTTACAATGTTAATATATATTGTACTGCTGCTCAGTAGGATGGTTGGTTTGTTATTTATGTTCTGCTCATTAGGTTTGTGTAGGTTTTTGGTCACAACGTAAAAGAGACTTTTCATTGCATTTGGCACAGCAGATTCTCTGTACAGCTGTTGTACCATGGACTGCATTTAGAATTCACAGTGTCTAAAGCCAGCTCAGTGATGTTTTAGGTTTATATAAATCATTGGTCATTGTATGTAGTTTTTCTTGATCCCCACATAACAAATTTCAATTCAAGTTTTATTTACAGCATTGTAACTAGTAGCATGTAGCCTAATTTTATTCTTCTAATTCATAAAATTCAATACTTGTCACATTGGTATAATGGAGCAGAGTATAGCTGCAGTGTATGATTTAAATAGGTATCTTTAAGTGTTTATACATATGTGCATGTATTGATCATTGTTAATAAGGTGCAGATGTTTTAAGTATGCTCTTCGTAATGTATTTTTAGGATTGAAGAAGCTTCACCACCAGGTTGTGGATTTTGCCATATACCATATGATGAATTGAACATGCCATTCCCTGCTCACCTCACTTATTGTTACAACTGCAGAAAGCAAAAAGTTCCTGATGTCCTTTTCACTACAATTGATCTTCCTGTAGAGGCAATAGTTATTGGGAAGGGATGTCTTATTCAAGCCAGGTATCTATCAAAATATTTTCTTATTAAAATTTGGAGATCTTTGAAAGAATTCCTGTTGCTAAATTCCAGTCATCAAACCTTAGATTTTGTATATTAAATTGCTAGGAGTTAATGACAGTCTATTGGGGTACAGGAGAAGGACAGCCTTCTCTTCCCCTTGTGTTATGTCATGTCCCATGATGAACATCTGGTAACTTGATGGGTCTCTTTAACCAAGTAACAAGTGATAGGATGAGGTAATGGCCTCAAGTTATGCCATGGAAGGTTTAGACCTGATATTAGGAAGCATTTCTTTACAGAACAGGTTGTTAGGCGTTGGAATGTGCTGCCCCATTCCAATGACTACCCAGTGGTAGAGTCCCCATCCCTGGAGATGTTTGAGTCAGGTTGACATAACACTGAGGGATATGGTGTAGTTCAGAACAGTCAGTGTTAGGTTAATGGTTGGACTAGATAATCTTCAAGGTCTTTTCTAACATAGATGATTCTGTGAACTTACCCATGTTGGTAAATGTTCTGCTATTTTTTTAATGCCTGTGGGAATTGCAGTATTTTGTCTGCCTGGATATAAGAGTTTTCATGCTTTAACTTGCTGTTTGGGACCACTAATGTGGTCAGATACAGCTATTGCATTTGAAACTCAGTGAACTGATTAAGTCAGTTGTGTTAATTCTGTGCTGATGTCTGTAACTGAACTTATGTCTGTAGAATTGGTGGCTATGTCCAGTTTATACTGTGGTCTTTGAATTTGGAAAAGGGAATAATGTGGTTTACAGTCAGAAAGAAGAAAATGTTAGCTATGTACAGTATGTTTGGGTGGCCAGTTAGCTACATGGGTAAATAACTGGTTGGATGGTTGGGCTGAGAGGATAGTTGTTTATGGTTTATAACCTACCTGGATGGCCACGACAAATATAACAGTCTGCAATGGGACCTGTTGTGTTGAACATCTTAATGATGTGGAGGAGATGATGGACTGCATTCTCTTCAAGTTTGCCAGTTACACCACAATGAATGGGACCACACAATACAATACCTGTCCAGTTTGTCCTGCTCTGAGAGTGGGAAAGAATCAGAAAACTAGAGCAGGTTCAGTGGAGGGACACCAAGGGAGTAAGGAGCACCAGCCATATGAAGAGAATTGCAGGTGCTGGACTTGCTCAGTCTGGAGAGAGGAAGAATTCAGGGGGACCTAATAGCAGCCTGTTTATAGCTCTAAGGAGTTTGTGGATCCTATGTAGCCAGGGTCTGCGCAGTGGGAGAGTGAAAAACAGTGAGCAAGAGAAATTCAGAGTGGATATAAGGAAAAACTACTTACCTGTGAGAACAATCAGGCAGTGGAGCAGATTGCCTAGAAGGTTGTGCAGTGTCCATCTTTGGGGGAGTTTTGAAGATCCGACTGGATAAAGCTCTGAGCATCATAGTCTGAGCTCAGAATTGACCCCCCTTTGGCTGTACAGGAGGTTGCACTGGAGACCTCCTGAAGTTTCTTCTCACCTGAATTTTTATTATGATGCTGTGTTTATCATTCTCTTGACTTCTGCTAGAGCAGAATTTCTGAAGCTACTGTAGAGATGTGTTTTGAGCCCCTCCTTTGGTATTTTCTGTATTACTAAATCTTCTGTTCAGCACCATTGTGGAAATTGACTTTGTGTCACATGGTGGTCACCAGCCTGTCTCTGGAACACTTGCAGATGTCCTATTTCCTCTAGAATGATTCCTGAAACATTTCCTCATCTGCCCCTCCTCCCCCAAATAAATTTGAAAAAAAGACCTGAAGCTATATTTAGAAAGATTTTGCGGTGAACTTGTTATGACTGGATGAGTTACTGTGTTTTCCTGATCATGTAATAAATGTAGTCCTTAGAAGAAAGTGTTATCTGTTCATATCACTAAAATGTACAGTTGTCGTGTTCTTTTTGAATTAAAATTTGTCACTGAAAGTAGGCAGTCATTATAGTGGTGTGGGGTTTGAATTTCATTTTATGGGGCTAAACCCAAAGAGTGGAATATGACTAACACAGTATGTTCAGAGATGAGATTTCTATGCTCTTTCTTTTATTATTTTAAGATGTTTTATTTTGGTTAATGCTTGACCTGGTAAGGGCACTCAGTTTTTTTTCTTTGTTCCAAAGTGTGCCTTGAATAACTGTATTAATAGGCATTTTAAAAGTTCTACCAGTAGATGTCATTTCTTGTGCTTGTACTTGAAGTGTTCAAGAGGTTTGCAGCAACAGAAACAAATGTTTGCATTTGGGGTCTTACTATGAAAAAAGCAGAATACACAAATTTTCAGATAAGACAGACTCGAGTTCTTATGAACTGACATTTTTTTATCCAGTTGCTGCAATCTAGTAGAATGCACTTCATCAGTTCTCAGGCTCAATTGAAAAGGACTGCAGTAATTGTCCCTTGAAATAATCGATTTTTGTAGAGGAGTGTTTAACAAATATCAGACAGCTTGAAAAGAAGTTGTTTGTCTTCAGTATTTGCTTTGACAAAAGTGAGCAGGGCAAATTTTTAACAGTCACTGCTATATGATAGGAGTGTTAATATATTAGCCAAACATCTAGTAGATTGTTATCTGGAATCTGTAGAAAACTTTTCTGTTGCATAGTTATTTGGTTCTGCCAGACTGTTATGGCAGTAACCCTGTGTGATACGTGTTGTTTCTGTCTGATAACAGTTATTAAGCGTGTTTTAAGAATGGAGATGTGACTTTTTACAAAAATACAGTATTGGTAATTTTTGTATTCTGCTTTGATAAGAGAGTATTTTTGAATGTTGTTGAAGCTTATGTATTGTTCTGTTTTTTAAGTTTACTTTTTATTTTACCCATTTTTATTGTTCATATAAATATACAGCTACCTATTAAAAATGAAAATCAGATCTTACTTATTGGGACTCAGTGCCTCAGTGTGCCTTGATCTTCCTGATGAGAATTTAATATTTTACAGGATTTTAAAATACATTTAAAGGAAACTGATTGTATTAGGTTATACAATGAAGAAAAAAAAAATCAAAATACCCTGTGATCACTTTCAATCTTCAGCAGTTAAAGCTATTCATCTGCTGATGTGATGTACTGTTTCGTATTGTCAGGTTATGCCGTCTAAAGAAGAAAGCTCAAGCTGAAGCAAATGCGACATCTATCAGTAATCTCTTGCCATTTATGGAATATGAAGTGCACACCCAACTGATGAATAAACTTAAGCTGAGAGGAATGAATGCTTTGTTTGGGCTGAGAATTCAGATCACTGTGGGTGAAAATATGCTAATGGGGTTAGCAGTAAGTAAAGTTTTAATCTGGGGATTCTTTTGTTTTCTTACAGTATTTTTTCAGGACAGAAAGACCTACAAGTGTTGTAAAATTCAGAGTAACTACAGATATTAAAAAGTTATTTGAAGAATAAATGAAGTGATGGAATGAGGTGTCTAATCATTGACAAATCAGGACAGACTCTCTTTTGGTGACAGAAAAGATTCAGATCTCTTGAAAGTCTGCTACAGGACAAGACTATTAGAAAGGGGATGAGAGGAAAAGAAACTTTAAATGATTTAATGGCTTAATGATTTAATGGCTTAATGAATTATAGAAAAATTGTGTTCTTTAAAGGTCCTGTCAGAGATCCCTGTTCATCAAGTTGCATTACAGTTCCATGACGAAGAAGGTCAATTAAGTCTCAAATCTTTTGGTTGGTTGTCAACAAGAGAGAGGTCTGTCGCCTCTTCTTTGATGGCACTGCAGAAATAAATGATAGATTGGAAGTGTCTTGGAGATAGACAAGAAAAGTTCATTAACTATATTTTGTAACCTTATTCTGTCATGTGGGGTTAGAATAGTGGAAATGTGCTGCTTCCTCATCGGTGGAAGAGGATGTTTGGGTAATATTGACTTGCTTGCATGTTCTTTTGTCTGAACTGATGATCCGTTTTCTCTAAACGGAAATGGGATTTTTCACTTCTTCAGTGGTACTGTAAATGGTTTGGTGAAGTTTTAAATCCTTGAAACAATCACTTGGCTTTGCAAAATATACTAGGGCACAGGTTTTAATTCATACTTTGTTTGGAACTTTTAGGCAAGTTAAGAACTCCACTGTGGAAAAGACACATGGGAAGGAGAGAGTTTATTAAAAGAATGGGTTTTTCATAAGTGAACAAGAGAGAGCCATTTATTAAGGGAAGAGATCACACTGTAGTGCGCATGTCACAGTGTCATCTGTTATAGCATAAGCATTATGGAAAATTTTATATGAAAGTATTAGAAATACCTGCTTATGTAATTGTCATTTTTCTTAATGACTTTTTAAAAGTCTGCAACAGGTGTGTATCTAGCAGCTCTGCCAACACCTGGTGGTATTCAGATTGCTGGGAAGACTCCAAATGATGGCACTTACGAGCAGCATATATCACACATACAAAAGAAAATAAATGATACTATAGCAAAAAACAAGGAACTTTATGAGATTAATCCTCCAGTAAGTAAAGCTTTTATATTCTTAAAAATAAAGCATTGAGTCAAACAGATCTATACCATGTATATCCATGAATTACTACTGACTGAATCATTCAGAATGTAAGTTGTTTTTTAGTAGAGATATAGATTCTTTTCACTATATTTTGGGAACCTACTGGAATTTTCCTATCTCTTAAGCCACATATCCAAATCAGTTTGTATTTATTTAGATTTATTTCTCAAAGTACTTCTCTAAATGTTCTGATTCTTAGAACTGTTAACAAATTGCTTATAATTGAAATAATTTCAAAACTACATAGAACAACTGATAATTTTTATATCCTTTTTTAGGAGCTACCTGAAGAAATCATTGGGTCTCCCATTCCAGAGCCAAGACAACGTTCCAGGTTATTAAGGTCTCAATCAGAAAGCTCTGATGAAGTTACAGAGCTAGACCTTTCACATGGGAAAAAGGATGCTTTTGTCTTGGAGGTGATAAATATTTTCAGTACTCATTTTCATACTTCCCTTTTCTTGAAATATATATAAAAAAAGGAGAGAAGTTTTCTTACTTATCTCCAAAGACAGTTCTTGAATTGTATATAAAATTTTCTATTTTTGCATCAGTAGAAAATTTCACGTATTGGATATTGGATTTTACACTGTCTCTCTTATTCTGTTTGCTTAAAGTATAGCTATATTATGTCTAGGGACAATAACCGAAAAAAGATTGCCCTGCTATACATGAACATGTAGCAATATCTAGAATAATAACTAAGAGCTGTTAAGCAACGCCCTTCTGCCTACTTCAAGCAGCAATCATGATGGATCCAGAACTTAGATATATTTTTATAAACATTGAGGCTCTGTGTTGTCACACTTTATATTTAGCAAAGAAAAAGCTTGTATATTCTTCCAGTTTCAAAGCTCTTAATGTGACAATTGGATATTCAGAATTATTAGTTTGTGGAAGTGGTAGTAATTCAAAGCATTCAAAAAAATGCATTTGTCAAGAGAGCACATAGAAGATAAGCTTTTCTGAATTTCAGCTGATGCTTTTCAGAGTTCAGGAACTTACAACTTCAGAGAATATCTTCCAGATCTTTTTACAGCTACACCTAGAACAAGAACAATACCTACAGATAAAGAACAGAGATTTCTTTTACCTCTCTAGTCACTAGAATTCAAAGATGTGATTTTAAAATTGTACACTTTTGAAGGAAGAGAGTCAAATACTAAAGAAGGCTTAGAATTTTGATCATCTTCTTGTGGATACAGGTGTTAAAAATACCTGTCCTAGACTAAGAAAAGTTTAAATTACAGCCTGTAATTGCAGCCTAAGGTACATTAAAGACTTTATGTTAATCTTTACAAATCACTATCTTCATAGAAAATAAACTGGAAGAAAGGTTGTAGATAGGGAGTATGAGAGAGTGCTTGTAACAGCAGTTAATTTTAAAACAGGTTAGAAAAGAGAGTGAAAAAATAGTGGGTTGGGTGAGGTTGGTATAATAAATTGAGATTGGTTGGTGCTTCTGCTCTTTGAGTAAATTTTTGATCTCCAGTCCATTACAGGCATGCTAGGATCAAAGTAAGCAAATTGGGAAGTCCCTAAAAGTAACTTTGATGCTAGTTAACTCTCACATTAAGATGATATAAGGACAGTTTTCATCAGGTAATTTTGCAGCTGGTCTTCACTGGTTTTTGTTTTAATATCATTGTCTGTGTAGACTGACAGGAGTGGAATTTTATCCTCAAAAGTTACAACAGATGCTCTCTGAGGCACTGTATTGAAATGGATGAGCTTATCAGAAAATACTTCAATAAATGCAAAAAGGATTGTCTGCCTTTGTAAGAAGAGGATTGTATAAGGCATAAAAAACGCCCACAACCCAGAGATTGTTATACTGCAAGAGACCCTTTGGACAAGTTAGGGAAAATACCAGTAAAACATAAGCCCAGCCTCCATTTCACTTCTAAAGTCTGTCAAATAGAAGAGAGACAGCAGTAGTAAAAACTTGGCATACTTCTGCCCAGTTGCTTCATAAAGAAGCTTGATACATTATAAGCAAAGACCCTCTGGTTAAGGACTGCATTATATACTGCAAGCAGAGTTCAGCTCTCTTTTTGCAGTTTTGGAGAATTCTTCTTTCTACTGTATTAACAGTAGTATATGCACTTGGGATAGGAGATCTCTGTGTGGAAGGGAAAAATGTAAGTACACTGTCATGTACTACAGAGTACATTAAAAAAAGATCTAGAAAAATAAGATCTGATGCTTAAAGAACGATCATTTACTGGTTTAAATTATGTGAAGTTATTGGTCCTAGAATATGTGTCCCTGTGTTTCGGTAGTTCAGTCTTCATAGAAAAAGGACTTTTGATCTGTGGAGCCACTTACTAATGTCTTTGTTAAGAAATTAGCTATGAGGAACAATATTCCAAAGTTTTAGTGAAGCTCCTGAATCTGACCTTTCAAGAGTGAAATCATTGTTCACTGGAAATATGTAAGAAAAAGTGGTAAAAAATTCACTGTGGTGAGGAAGTGCTAAGAAATGTTGGGAGACAATTATGAGAGGTAAGGCTGGCTGTTTTGGTTTTTGGGTGGTTTTTGTTTTTTGTTTTTTTTTTTTTTGAGGGAGAAAAAAAAAGACTGCTCCTCTTAATTTGAGAGAGAGAAGAAGGAGAAACAATACCTGACAGAGAACCCTTTAATACTGGGGTTAAAATATAAACAATTTCCAAAATACTTGGAAGAAGGCAGAATAAATGTAAAGACACATGACACAAATATTTACAGAAGGTAGCAAGGTAGATACGCTCTTAGTCTGATCTAAAATTAAAAAAAGTCTTTAAAGATTGGGTAGAGTAGAGGTTATTTGGATAAGAAGAACTAATAATCCCCAAATTTACCTTTCCCTATTTGATTTTCTGCTGTTCATACTAAGCAAGGTTTTTAAAGTCCTGGAGAGATTTTTGTGTCATTGGAATAGGCAGAAAATGATCACATCAGTGTAATACAGACCATATGAGAATTCTGGTAGCCTAGGGTCCTTAGCTGGAAAAAGCTTTAAGTTGTTACATGGAAACTTGTTCAGCATTTAAAATTGTTTAAAAATCACCTTTTTATCATTCTTATCTACTGCAGTTTCTCTGCTGCAGTTTCTGTGTGTTCTGTGCACATTGCCTTATTTTTAATACAATTTCATTAAATAAACTATTTTTCAAGTGTTAAGCATATCATAGGCTGATAGTTAAGATTCAGAGTTCTGGTTGATGGAGTAATTTTTTTAAATCTCAGCGTAGCTGCCAGATACAGTTCTCTTGATGAGAAAGTTTTTATATGTTTCTGAGACTTCTGACTGGAGTAGCAACATGATTTTTATAAATTATTCCTTTTTCCAGATTGATGATACAGATGCAATGGAAGATGTACACTCTTTACTGACAGATGTTCCACCACCTTCTGGTATAGTTAAAAACATATTTTTCTAACCTACATTGTAGGCTGCAAAATGACAAAACAGTGCTAGTTTTGATTAAAAAAAAAAATGTTCAATAGTAACAGTGAAAAAATTTTTGAAGTGTTGATCTTGTCAGATACACCTGTAGAAAAAAGTCATTAAGCCTTTTATGGGGATTGTTGCTTATTAAAAAAACCTGAGGTAAACAGCATTTGTGTGGCATTTTGTAGTTCACTGATTTGTACTGTTGCAAATTTTTTACTTCATACAGGTGTAACAATTGGATCTTTTCTACTAGTATACCAGTTGCTAAAGATTTTTAGACTGAATGACTAATTTGTAGGTTGCAGAGTCAATGAAAATACTAGAGGGAACAGAATGTCCTTTAAGTATTTGTAGCCATATAATGTGACATACTGGAGTTGTATTCCAAGAATGTTATTTAAAGTAGGCAATTTGCCCTCCCAACACTCTTGTTCAACAAGTGCATTTGTATTTTCCTTGCTTTGTGATTGTGCCATACTGTCAGCTTAAGTCTTTGCGTTCACTGCGTTTGTTGACAGCTTGTGAGACATTACTGTTACTTAGAAAAGTGTTAGAAGAGTGCACTCCTCTGCAGTGTCTTATTTTTCCATCTGCCTATGAATTCCATTTTCTGGAATAGCTTCTATGGGCCAGTAATACAGATATGTGTAGTAGGCAAATTAGTAGGTCCTAGTCAATAAAAGCACCTCACTACCTGAAGATTAAAGAATCCTCTCATCTGGTAACGAGGTAATTGTAAGTTAGCGTTCAATGCCATTTAGTCAGCTATTGAATCTTTTGCCTTCCCTGTTGTTTATATGATTCCTTGTTTTTTGTTTGCCTATTTGTTCATTATCTCCTTCAGACACAGACAAGTATTCTGATGGAAAATAAACAAGGGACTGGTTTTCCACTATTGTGGAAAGCTCCACTACCGTGGTGAACACTGAAGCAAAAAGCCTGCATGTTGTCTTCTATCATGTCATCATCTCTGCATGTTCTCTCTATATCTTGATTGACTCTTCAACAAGATTTCTGCTTTTGATGTTCTTAAAGAAAATCAATTAATATGTATACCTTCCAAAAGCTGCTACACAGTTGCTTTTCTAGTTTATTTTGTGCATTTTTATAGGTCCTGCCAGATTTTTCTTTTGTGCTTATTTAGCCCTATCTTTAGATTTTCAACATTGCCTGTTTGCTGTTTATAACTTTTCTTACCCTGCTGTTTAGTCATTATACTTTCTTTTTTTTCCTTGTCTTTTGAAGTCTCTGTTAGTCACACCTTTTTAATAAAGTTTCCTCATTTGTACATAATTTGTTTATTGGAAACTAGGCAGAGTAATAGTGGATTTTGGGTGTCTGCCCTTCCTGCAAGATTGCTTAAGTATATACTGGACAGAGCTGAAAAACTTCTTTGAATGCTTTTTCCTGCTCAGGACCAACTAGTTAGGGGTTTTCTGTTTTGTGGGTTCTACAAGAAGCGGCTCTGTGAAGTAGTCAGGGAGTTTGGCTCAACAATTAGTCTTAGCATCAGATGATATGAGTTACCCAGTCTCCATGGGGAGCAACAGGCACTGTTGCATTTCATACCATTGTAGCCTCTCTCATGTTCCTCAACATGATGACATTTCTGGCCTTGCTTTTTGGTGATGGAAGAAATACTCAGAATAAGAATTCTGTAGTGAATTAGTGTTTTAGAAGTGGTGAGTTCCATCTCTCCTATCCATTTTTTCAATGCAATATGAATAACATAAAGCATGTGTTTCTTTTGCATGTTATTATATATCGTATTCTTCAGATGGTATGTTAGTTTTTTGAATGTTGGTCTTATTTTTGTTGTATTATTCGGTGCTCAAAAACAGATCAAGTAATGTCACGTATGTTTCTTTCAAGGTATTTTTATATTTCAGTGTGCAACATAGATTTCCCCAAATATTTTCTTTACAGGTTTTTACAGTTGCAACACAGAAGTTATGCCTGGTATAAATAACTGGACACCAGAAATTCAAGTAAGGTTATTCAAAGAAATTTAAAACTTTTTTCCAAATTGTGTTGAAATAATGCTGTAGCAATTTAAATATATATTAGCGATCACTGATTTTGAAAGATAAATTGAAATGATACTCTTGTGTTAGAAGTAAAAGTAGTATTTTGGTAAGAAAAATAGGGTATGAGCACCTGTTGTGTTTTTTTCAATGCTGTTATGTAACAGAGAACATTGTACAAAAATTACAAAATAATTATGGTAATTATGAACTTAAAGATTTTGGGCATTTTTAAGAGCTGGGCTAGATTTTGAAGCCTCTTAAAAGAAACACATTGTTGACTGTGTTACCTAGTGTGAGATACTGAATATGATGACATGAATAGGTTAAGGTGAATAAGAATTAGATAAAGCCAATTAAGTGAGTAGAGAAAGATTCCATTTATAATTAAGTTGAAACATTTTGGTTATGTTTGTACAACACAATTCAGTCTTAGAGAGTTAAAACAGATCTATATAAGTGAGCTTTTACATCTAATTGGCACAGTGCAGGACTGTGCTTTTCAGAGACACAACTCAAACCTGAAAACCATATGACTGCACCAGCAGCGTACTGTCAGGTTGATGGGATTGGATGTGTATCTGTATATGACATTCCATTATTGTCTACATTATTGTACACAACATATAATTTTTCAACAGCAGTTAACAAAATATGTAGCAGGTAGAATGACTCCTTTATAAAGCAAGTAAGAAGGACATAGAGTATTTCATATCTTGCTTAATCACTTGCTCAATATATTCATATACTTTAGTTCACAGAAAGTTTGCCTTTTGTTTGTAAAATTTCATGAGCAATACAGCACTTTATTTGACTTACAGTTGCTACAGGTTTCTTTCCTTTTCTTTACATCCTCCTCCTCTTCCCCCTCTCCCTTACCACCCCCACCCTCCCACC